GGTGGGATTGCAGACTGGTACAACCATTATGGAAAATAGTATGAAATTTTCTCAGAAAAAATAAAAATCAACCTACCTTTTGACTCAGCAATTCCACTGCTAGGATTATATCCTAAGAATCCTAAAACATCAATTTCAAAGAACCTATGCATCCCAATGTTCATAGCAGCACAATTTATAATAGCCAAGAGATGGAAGCAACCTAAGTGCCTGTCAGTAAATGAATGGATCAAAAATTGTGGTACATATACACAATGGAATTTTATGCAGCAGAGAGAAAGAAGGCGCTCCTATTCTTTGCAACAACATGGATGGAACTGGAAAGCATTATGCTGAGTGAAATAAGCCAGGTGGTGAAAGACGAATACCATATGATCTCACCTTTAACAGGAAGCTAAATAAGAAAACAAATAAGCAAGCAGAATAAAAACAAGGACACTGAAATAGAGAACAAGGGGATAGTGACCTGAGGAGAGAGGGAAGGGAATTTAAGGGGGAAAAGGGGGAGGGATTTAGAGGAGCAAGTATGAAGGACACAGGGACGAGGCCTGGGGGGGAGAAAATGGGAGGGAGGTGGGGATCATGGAGTGGGGTGGGGCTGGGATGGGAGAAATAGACAAAAAACTGTACTTGAAAAATAACTAAATAAAATTTAAAAAAGAATAAATTCAAAATGCATCAAAGACTTAAATGTTAACTCAAAACCATAAAAATCCTATAAGAAAACATTGACAGTAAAATCTCAGACATGGCTCATTGCAACATTTTATCTATCTCCTCAGGCAAGGGAAACAAAAGAAAAAAAATAAATAAATGGGACTACATCAAACTAAAAATTTTTTGAACACCAGAGGAAACCATCAACAAAATAAAAAGACAACCCAGTAATGGAAGAACATATTCAGTGATACATTCCATTAAGGAATTACTATCCAAAATTTATAAAGAACTTATAAAACTCAACACCAAAAAACCTCCCAAAAACCCAATTTTAAAAAATGGGCAAAGGACATGACTAGACACTTCATCAAAGAGGACACACAGATGGCCAATAGACATATGAAAAGATGCTTAATGTCACTAATCATCAGAGAAATGCAAATTAAAAACAATGAAATATCATCTCACACTGTCAGAAGGGCTATCAACAATAAATCAACAAAGAAGAACTGGCAAAGATGTGGAGAAAGAGGAACACTTTTGCACTGTTTGTGGGAATGAAGATTGGGGTAGCCACTGTGGACAGAAGTATGAAGATAACTCAAAAACTTACAAATGGAACTACCTTTTGACCCAGTGATCCGACTTCTGGGAATATATCTGAAGAAACCCAAAATATTAATTCAAAAAAACATAGGCACCTCTATCTTCATTGCAGCATTATCCACCATTGCCAAGTTATGGAAGCAGCCCAAGTGTCCATCAGTAGTTGAGTGGATAAAACAACTATGGGACATTTACACAGTGAAATACTACATGACCATAAAAAAGAAGACTATCTTACCCTTTGCAAGAGCATGGATGGACCTAGAGAATATTATGCTAAGTGATATTAGCTAGTCAGAGAAAAATAAATACCATATGATTTTTTAAAAATCTGGAGCAAAAACTTGAGAAAAGTAATAATAGTTGATTGAATTTCACAGGAATAGGTTCAACAGTGAGGCATATATTGTCATTTGCTTTTCCCAGTTCTGGTGGTGAAATGATCACACTCCCATCTGTTCATCTTCATCACTTACCACATAGAGTTTGTAGGACAGCTGGTGGCAGAGAGGACAGGAGTACTGCCTATAGTTGTGCAACTAAATAATGCTGTCTGGCCCATTGTGGTATAATATCATGCTTTCATTAATCTCATGCTTTTTAATGCATGGAATTAAATAGCAACCGACATCTAAAAATACCTGGTCTGTCTTTTTAGGCATCCTTTACTTGCAGAGCTTTCCAGGGGCACAGCTACATTATATCTGAAAGTGAGTTAACAGATGAGATCTTTGACAATTGTTTCTCAGAGATCAAACTAACAATCTCCTCATCACTTTCTTATTAGTCTGGTTGCCACAGAAAGACTCATGTTTATGTCTCTATCTCCTGGATTCTTTTTTCTAAACTACCTGTGTTTATTTTTGTATGTATACTACAAAATAAATTTATTGGGGTAACAACAGTTAGTAAGATTATATAGGTTTCAAGGGCACAATTCTATGATACATGATCAGTATATTTCATTGCATGCCGACCACCCAGCCAAATCTTCTTGAGAAGATGTTTTTATTTACTTATTAAAAGATTTTATTCATTTATTTTTAGAGAGGGAGAAGGGAGGGAGAAAGAGAGCGAGAAACATCAATGTGTGGTTGTCTCTTGTACGCCCCCCACTGGAGACCTGGCCAGAAACCCAGGCACGTGTCCAGACTTGGAATCAAACCAGTGACCCTTTGGTTCCCAGGCAGCCACTCAAGCCACTGAGCCATACCAGTCAGGGTGAAAAGATGTATTTTAAATGATACTTTACCCACAGTTACACATCTGCAAAATTTCTTTGAAAAAAAAAATTTGATTTTAGCTGTACATTCACATCTTTCATGACCTCATAATTGTGCAAAAGTAAACATTTTTTATTGCCCTCACTTAGCATTTCAATGAAGTTCTCAAAACCTTTTGACAAATCTGTGAGTAATGTCTGGAGCTGTGTCATGAAATAAGGGACTATGAGTAATGGAAGGCATTTATAGCTAAGCTGCTTTCACAACTATGCTACTTTTCAATAAATCCTCAGCTTCCATTACATTTTTCCCTCCTGAAAGCGGTCTCTTAAACAAACAGACAAACAAACAAACAAACAAGCTGGCATGCAATCTATTAGTATTCTTAGATGAGGGGATGGCCTTTGTAATTTCAGAGCAATTAATCTGTAGACCAATGGCAGAAAATAAAAGCTGGGGAGTATTCTTGCTTAAAGTGGGAGAGGGGGATGAAATTTAGGCTGGAAAAGCAGAAAACCCCTTATGCAAAAAAGTTACAAGGCAATATGTGAATATTCGTAAAGTTTGATACCTGTTATAGATTTTATTCCTTCCTTCCATTTGCACAGAAGTATCCAGAGGTCTATCACAGGAGATTATATATATAATTTTATATAAAAATACAAAAATATAAACACAATACAGTATATAAATATATAAACATAATATATACTATATGCATATCATATAAATATATAAATATAATATATTCGTTTATAATATATAATACACACCATGTAATACATCATATATTATTTAAATATTATATATAATATAAAAGCATGATAAATAAATATATGATATAAATACATACTTAATATAAATATATAATATATTTTATATAAGTTATATAAATATATAACTATATTTATATTTTATAAATATATAAAATTATATTTATATAAATATATACTAATATATATTTATGTATGTGTAAATAATACATGTACACAGTTGATAAACTAGACGGTAAAATGAAGGAAAGAACTGCAAATCAAGGGGCTAAAAATAAAAAGCAACATGATTCTTAGATGTATTTTTATAGTGTTATTTTGTTTCATCTTCATATAAGAGACTCAGATTAAAACAATTTAACCTCCCGAATCTCTGTTCCCTACCAAGTTAATAATATGTATCTTCCAAAGTAGAAGTTCCACACCTAATGAGAAGATTAGGTATGGAACTCTGGGCTCAATGTTTGTATTTCCAAACTTGAAGAAGAGACATGACAACTATCTTTCCTAAGTAAAATTTCAGAAATAATTCCTAACATTGGACCATGTCTCCATGATTCTTCTAAAATCTTTAAATAATTTGTCTTTCCAACTGGCATGTAACCAGGTTAAGGGACTGAATGTCTCTTTATCATCCATCTACTATGTGCAAAAAGGAATTTTATATTTACCTTCAAAAGTGTCATGGATTCATCCCTTCCCCCTCCCCGCACGTGGTTCCCCCCCCTTGTTACCTAGCAACTGGTCACCTTAGCAAGAGAACGTCAGGTCTAGAACCAAGACAGTTGGTCTCTGGCTTCATTGGAGCTGCCAAGCTGCTCTAAGGTGGAAGTACCAGTTGTTGCTCCGGACGGCGTTAACCTGCATGGACATTCAGCCGATTTTCTCCGACAACTTAAAAGGGTTTCCCTATTAAATTTCTCTATGGCTTGTACTGGGAATGTGTAAGTACAAAACTGAGTACAACTTTTCCTGAGTAAGTGGGACAAGGACAAGTGGGTTCGAGGGGGTGCTGGGGTGGGGGGGAATCTCAGACAACTACTTGAAGGGTATACACTCAGGTACTATGAATACCGACTGGGTTTAGGGTGGTGATTTTTAAATGTAGTTTCAAAACGGAAGTATGTATGAAATTCAATAAACTATTATTAGTTTTCTAGAATCCTTAGTGTAAACAGTCAGGTTTAAACATGAGGAAATTGGTAGTCTAGGGTGTGGTGTGGATTGAATGAAGAAAAATGTAACAAAATTCTACTTCAATGTTGAATGATGCTTCATAAAGAGAAACAATGTGGGGTGTTTAACATAACTAACGTTTCTTCAACTTCTGTGGAGAGAAAAAAATGTTTTCCCTCAAAAGATTCTCCAGAATATGCCTGCCAAAATGTGAATGCTGGGCTTAGTGGATCACTGATCCTACTGAAATAGCTGCTGTTTGCTATGGCTAGTCTGCACACTGGGGCCTTTAGGGATGCTGTCTTGAGGAGGTGGGGAAATGAGGAGTGGGGTGGAGCCACAAGTCATTTGTGAAGGGTAATCACAGAGTTTGGTGCCAAAGAGGTTGCCTGATAAGGGTCCAGTGGGTTAAAGAAGTGTTTGCTGAGTAGAAGTAGGAAGAAATAAGGCCCTCTCCTTTCCCCTGGTGTATTTCAGAGAGTTCGATAAATCACATATTTTAGATATTTCATAGTTGCTGAATTTCTATTTTTATTAACTTATTTATTTCTATTTTTGTAAGCCTTGAAGGGCACTCCTCTTCACCTGTAGCTGTAACTGCAGATGAAAATAAGAATGAGACTCAACAACCCAACGTGTCTCTGCAGCTTTCCAGTACCATGCTGATGGACGAAGTGGGATCCTGGGGCCAACCTCGTTTGCCTTTGAGACTTCCCTTCAGTTTGCCACCTGAACTTGTAAGAGAGCAACTGGAGAGCCTCTGGGAGAAAAGAGGATCCAGCATTCCTGTGGACAGTTCAAGAGCTCTTAAACACCCAGAGGGGCCACCACCTGCAGTTGTGAAAGAGTCCCTAGCAACTGCAAAAGTAAATAGCTCTGAGGGGCTAGCAGTCTGGAAGAAAATGGGACAAAATTCTATTAATGTGATCCCAAAATTCTCTAGTACCCCTCCCTCACTGATGGTAGGGGGAGCAGGGGTCAGCAATGAAAACACAGAAAGAGGTGTCAATAATGCAAATTTCCCTGTGGCTTTGCCACAAGGTCAAGGATTCTTTCCACCCAAATGCCCACAAGTAGGAGATCCTCCACCTATCCCCACCATTAGATCTGGGATAATGATGCAGGTGCCTCCAGGATATGTGAGAATGCCCAACAATGGAAGGATGGCTCATGTTTCTTTCCCAACGGGAAGCCCAGGGCTCCCCATGGAAAACTGGTCAAGGCCTGCAATCATTCCTCCTGGTATTGCTCCTTTACCTTCCTGGCCTTGTGCTCCTGGCTTCATATGCCCTCTATTTTGGAATTTCAATCCATTTCTCAATATGCCTGTGCGTTTTGTTCCTGCCCCAATAAATGGTTCTCCACATCTTCCCACTTTTGCCAATTTCCCTCCCAGGAACATGCTACCTCCTGCATCCTTTATCAGAGAGAACAAATGACAGCAAGAATAGAAGGAGAAAAATTTTTTAAATGTAGGGGAAATAGGTGAAAATAATCCATTTATATTTTTATATTTGAAGCCCCCTACCTTCTTTCTCTCTGTTTAGCACTAGTGTGCCTTACATATGTGGAAATTCAATAAAGATCCTAAAGTTGGAAGTATCGTGAGTCATTTTTTAAATGCCACTCTGGGAGCCTAGACCTTAGATTTTGCTTTCTCTTTTAAGGACATGAAATGAGTAATGTACCAATGTTTTCTAAGTAGCTTAGTTGGATCCCCATCACTGGCTTACAGCCATATGACTGTACTGGGATATTTCTAGACTTAGCCAAGTCTAGAGTGGGGAATTTGTACCTGCCTAAGATTATGGGGGTTGCTTGAAGCAGGATGTGTGGATTAAAATAGGTCCATAGAGGTAGACCCAAAGTCCAGATAATAGAGAAAAATGCACTAACAAGAAAATACAAATATCATATGATCTCGCCTTTAACAGGAAGCTAAACAACAAAATGAACAAGCAAGCAGAATAAAAATAAAGACACTGAAATAGAGAACAAGGAGACAGTGACCAGAGGGGAGAAGGAAGGGAAGTTAAGGGGAAAAAGGGGGAGGGATTTGGAGGAGCAAATAGGAAGGACACAGGGGCGAGAACTGGGGGGGGGTGGAAATGGGAGGGAGGTGGGGAGCAAGGGGCGGGGGAGGCTGGGATTGGAGAAATAGACAGAAAACTGTACTTGAAAAATAACTAAATAAAATAAAAAAAAAGAATTAGAAAAAAAAGAAAATAGCTAGATGAGATGAAATGAGAATAACAGAGCCAACATGTCACAGTTAGAGGCTGAACCAGTCTGAGAGAGCACAAAAGAAAAGGGGCAAGAGAGATGGGAGAGTTCTAGACCATTGCTTGAAACTCGAACTAGTGTTTCCCTCTCAAGAATGTGAAGTGCATGGTATATATAAAGCTGTCTTAAAAAGTCCAGTAAATGGCTGATCCCTTCACCCATTCTCTGAACAAAGGGCTATTGTATCATCAAAACTTTTAAATGCAAGTGAAAGTATTTTGTTCATGTGAAATTATTTTCTCCAGTGCTACTCTTTGCACTTTTCATAACATGTTGCAACACTCCATTATAATGATGATTTTTGAGAGATTATCAAAATGCCCAGATAGGAGCTTTTTCAAATTTAGGTGACAAAGATATGGGCACAGCATACTTGGCAGATGGATGGTAATTCTGAGCTCTGTACAGCTTAATTCACATAATTGCCTTTACATACAATGCTACTGTATATGAATAATCACTAGATTAAAAATTACTTTAGAGGACAATTCTTCAAACGAGTATTTTTGATGCCCAGGCCAAATGATGTAAGGGGTGTAAGCCCTTGGTTAAAGGCTGATGGATCCTGCAGATCCAAAAGACACGTAGCCTACAAGCAAAACCACCAATGTGCCTTCAGTATGAATAACGGGTTCTTTGCTGCCTTGGTAAAAAGGCCACATGGATCCAGGTTTCTTTTTCTTTTTGTTTCTTAATAGGTTGTTCTAAATTTACAGGTGGTAGTGCAAGGCTTAGAAAGAGATTACTAAAATTCCCCTCACTCTGGGTATGTCCTGAAACTGGCAATTTTCTATCAATTTACTGTGGTGGGCTGAGCAGAAGTTTTCAGCAAATCATTTGACAGCTGCTCACTATGAGGTAGCTTAGTCCCCAGTACACCAAACACTTATTGAATTTTCAGCCTTAATGAACAGAAGAGTTGAGCATGCTTATAGTCATCAAAAATATCTTTTGAGCCAGATGTTAAAAAATATTTTGACAAGGAATCAAGTTGTTGTGTCAATGGCAGTGCTGCATCTCTGGAGAGTTGCCAAATGGTGTGGTAAGTGGCCACTGAACAAGAATAATTTTTCCTTCTTGAAGAAAGTGCTCTGATAATTGCTCACAAAGACTTTACTCACAATTACAGCAATCCATGACAAATTCACTCTAACAAGGAAGTGCCACCAACACAATCTGCTCTTTTTCACCCCCCTGTTCTCTTTCTTAACACCCTGTACATGTTTATTTTCTATGTCATTTCTAAACACTGAACATTTAGAGTAAGCAAGAAAGACCGTTAGCAAATTGAGGCATTGTTTTCTTTATACCTGTGTGGCATAGGATATATATGTGTGTGTGTATGTATATATATATATATATATATATACACATATATATATTTTTTAGTTTATTTAGAGCTGTGTGCCTATATAACAGATATCAGTGAATGCAAGGATCAAGTGACCCTAGGATATTATTGTTAAATGCAAGTGGAATGCAAATATTTTTTATTCATGGCTTCTGTATAGAAATACTATGTAATTTTGTTATTGCATGCCCTCCATTACAGCAAAACATCAATTTTTAAGCAGATGATTTGCCTTAAAATCATTATTTTAAAATTATTCTGGTGCAGTATGGGTCAATAGAAATTATATACCACAACATCATATTTATTTTGGGAAGTGCTTATAGCAAAATATATTCAACACTCTTGAACAATTATGTTTTCCATTACTTTTCTGTGGCTTAAATAGCTCTTAAAGGAGAAAGGGAAAGATAAATATCCACAAAGTAGCCCTTTCTTTTGATGGTAATGAAGATGGGTAAGTATTTCTTTTTTTAAAATTTTTTTATTGATTATGCTGTTACAGTTGTTCTATTCCCCCCTTCATTCCCCTCCACCCTACCCACCCATCCCCACCATTATCCCCCCTTTAGTTTATGACCATGTGTCTCAATTCCTTTAGATTCTATATTTCCCATGCTATTCTTGCCCTCCCCATCTATTTTCTATCTACTGTCTATGCTACTTATTTTCTGTACCTTCTCCCACCTTCTCCTCCTCCCCCCACTCCCCTGTTGCTAACCCTCCTTGAAATCTTCATTTCTATGTTTCCACTCCTGATCTAGCTGTCCTTTTAGTTTGCTTTTGTTTTAGGTGTGGTTGTTAATAACTGTGAGTTTGCTGTCCTTTCACTGTTCATGTTTCTTTAACTTCTTTTTCTTAGATAAGTCCCTTTAACATTTCATATAATAAGGGCTTGGTGATGATGAACTCCTTGAATTTGATCTTATCTGAGAAGCACTTTTTCTGTCCTTCCATTCTAAATGAAAGTTTTGCTGGATAGAGCAATCTTGGTTGTAGGTCTTTGGATTTCATGACTTGGAATACCTCTTTCCAGCCCCTTCTTGCCTGTAAGGTCTCTTTTGAGAAATCCGCTGACAGTCTGATGGGGATTCCTTTGTAGGTGACTGTCCCCTTAGCTCTTGCTGCTTCTAGGATTCTCTCCTTCAGTTTAATTTTGGCTAATGTAATTATGATGTGCCTTGGTGTGTTCCTTCTTGGGTCCAACTTCTTTGGTACTCTCTGAGCTTCCTGGATTTCCTGGAAGTCTATTTCCTTTGCCAGATTGGGGAAATTCTCCTTTATTATTTGTTCAAATAAGTTTTCCACTGGTGGCTGTGCCTTTCCCCCTTCTGGTACCCCTATAATTCGGATGTTGGAGCATTTAAAGATGTCCTGGAGGTTCCTAAGACTCTCTTCATTTCTTTGAATTCTTGCTTCTTGACTCTTTTCCGTTTGGCCATTATTTGCTTTCTTCTGGTCCACTCCATTGATTTGAGTCCCAGTTTCCTTTTCATTGCTATTGGTGTCCTGTGCAATTCCATACATTTCAATTAGTTTCTCCTTCATATATTTGTCTAATTTGTCTGTATAATCAACCAGTTCTGTGAGGATCCTGATGACCAGTGTTTTAAACTGTGCGTCTGAGAGTTTTGCTATTTCTTCATCACTTAGATCTATGGGCTCTGGGGCTTTGAGATCTTGCGACATTTTTGGTCTGTTCTGGCCCTTTAAGTGTGAGAAGGGGTGCCTTGGACTCTCAGGTTGCTGGGTTGTGATGCAGTATGTGGGGGCGTGGTCAGAGTGGGGAAATGGCGGCACCTTCTGCTGTTTCTCACAGCTGGGTGAGGATTAGCATCTTAGGTGGTTCACCTGGGCCGGGCCACTCAGAGTGGCTGGGTTATGATGCTGTATGTGGAGGTGGGGTCAGAGCGGGGAAATGGTGGCGCCCTCCACTGCCGCTTGCCGCGGGGACCCACCGGCCCCAGTCTAACCGCCCACTCCCTCGCCTGTCCGCCCGCGCACAAATGCATGACCACAGTCAACACGCAGCACCGCTCCCCCGCTGTCTCCCCCTCGGTCGCTCACCTGGTTGCTCACTCAGTCGCTCACTAGGTCCAACCCTGCGCCTGGATTCCGCGCGTCTGGATTCCATGCCTGAGTCCGGCTGACCGAGTTTTCCTGTGCAATCCCACTTCACCAGCCACTGGTTTCATCCCTTACTGGTCAGGCTGAAGAATTTGTTGTTAACGGACTTCCGAAAAGTTCAATTTTCCGTGTTCTGGCTGTGTTTTCTATGGCTAATATTTAGTTGTCTCTAAACTTGGTTGTGTGAGAAGGCACGGCACATCCACCTATGCCTCCATCTTGGCGGAAGTCCAGTATTTCTTATTCTAGGTTTTAATCATTGTCACAAGAAGGTTCATATTGTACTGTTTGTTATTTATATTTCTCATAATTTTGTCACAAGACTGTACCATAGGAATTTAAATGTCCTATATATTCTCTAGAAGATAATAATAAACTTGTACAATTTGGACCCCTGTCATGTCCCAAAGTACAATTCATTTGCCATTTTTATTTTCTATTTTTACAACTTCTGTAGCCTAGTAGAAGAAGTACACATGCAGCCAATCAAACTATAGGAGATTGAAAAGGTTAAAGTTCAAAGAGACAAAAGTGTTAAAGTATATAGTCTTTCATAAACCAGAATGAAATTAAAATTATGCCACATTTTTCTGAGAATTATTATGACAAAAACATGAAATGAGACCAAATAAGTTATTTCTACTGGAGTCTTAAGGTTGAGATCATAGTGCTATCTTC